AAAATTCTTCACTGAAAGGGTTATTAAACATTGGAATGGGCTGCCCAGAAGTGGTTGAGTCCTCATCTCTGGAGGTATTTAAAAGACAAGTAGATGTGGTGTTTAGAGACATGCTTTAGTGGTAGACTTGGCAGTGTTAGGTTAATGGTTGGACTTGATGGTCTTAAGGGTCTTTTCCAACCTAAATGATTCTGTGATTCTATAAAATGCAATCATTCAGGCAAGCAAGCATGTGCAGGATAACACACACTATAACTCTCTGTTACTGTGTATTTCTCAAACCTTAAACAACACTAACCTGAGAAGTTACCAAGCAGGGAAGATGCAATTTATTTCCATGCAGCAGAAAAAAAGCCAGAAATGACATACTGAAATGCTCTCTGCTGTGTGCTGCCAGGGGATTTAATCAGCTGATTGCCAAAGAGATGTCAGTTCCCTGAAAGAGTGAGGACAACATGCCTTGCTGAGAAATGTACTCACAAGATTAAAATACCAGCTTCAGGATAAACCTAATATTGTCCCACAAGCAGATGAAAATTTGGGCAAGAATGAACAGCCTCCATCCTTACAAAAATCCTAAATCCACCTTCTAAGCCCATCTGTCCATCTCTGCCTTCTGCTCAGGTACCCCCAACTAATTCAGGTACCACTGGAAGCAGCTTACTGAACACGCCAGGCCAGGTCTACCAGCCCTAGAAGCCGGTCAAGCAGGATCCCATGACACAAGGTACCACCTATATTAATGGGACGGTCACCATGAACAGCGCAGTTTACAGACAGCAGACAAAAGGTGTTCAAGCACAGAACATACAGTGGCAACACAAGCGGACAGTCTGTAGTCATTCTTGTAAGGCCAGGGGTGGGTGCCTTGTGTTTAGGGTGGCGAGGAAGGAGAGAGATAAAGAAATCAGGCGAGCTGAAAAAGAAGGGAAGAGCTGAGGTGGGAACATGGCAGTCAGATGTGACTGTGGAGGAGGTAACGAGAATGGGAGATGGAGCAGCCAGCCAGCGTGGAGGTGCATGTTTACCACCCTCCTGGGTCAAAGCTGTGTAGAAGAGCTTCTTACAAAGGTTGTGAGAGAGCAACCGCTGTGGTAACTTTGGGCTCAGCTGGCTTTCTCCACACATATTCTTTTCTGAGCTTGTCAAGAGCTGGTGGCCTCAGCAGGAGGTGGGCACCCGGCTGTGCTACTTGCATGCTTCTGTTCCCAGGAAAGAGGTCCCACTAACCTCCACCTACCAACCTTCCAGGGCTCAGTTGCCTCCTGCAGTTCCTTTTATGTTGCTGCTGGCTTGTTTTCTTGCCGCACAATCATAAACCTCTCTCAGTCACCCCCTTTCCAGCTACCAGCCCAGGCTGGCAGTGCCACTGGGCGAACCCCACAGCTGGTACAGCATGGCCGCCCTTCCTCACACAGCTCTGAGCCCTGAGATGGCACACTGTTAACACCAAGAAGTTGTATAGGTGGAGACTGTACCAAAGCAGAGCCTTCTAAAGAAATGAGCTGATCTGGAAGCAGCCACTGGGCCTGGGGGGGGTCTCTGCTACACACATCATGCTACTTGCCCAGGGGCCAGCTCTTGGCCAAGCTCGCTCCTGTGCAGGAACAGGGGGTAAGGATGGCACAGCTTCACCCCAGTGCTGCCCGCACTGCTCCTCCCGCCCCCAGCATCAGCAATTATACACAGGCTTTTAACCGCCGCAGCCCTCAGCCGAGCCCAGCTGGCAGATGTTATGAAATGCCAGAGGCACATACGCACATACATGTGGGATACGGGCACACCTTGCCGGGGAGAAACCTGCGGTGGCAGCCAGGATGCTCTTCCTTGTTGCAGAGAAGGAGGAAGGGCAGGCAGGCAGGCAAAGTTAAAGGGGGGCAACAGAGAGCTGGGAAAGAGACCGAAGAGATCAGCTGTATTCTCCAGAGACGCACACCCGTATTTCTCTGATTTTGCCTCCTCCTAAGGAAAGGAGATAAGAGAAATCAAGTGTCTGTGACAGATGTTAGTCACGCTGCCTCACATGCTACTGAAGGGTGCTTGGCAGTGCGGGGTGGGAGGGGGAGCAGAAAACTCTAGGCACGGTAAGAAAAAATTAACCACTTTGTCCCACTCCTCAGCTGGCAATTATGACTTTTCCTTGTGCAGTACAGGGTGTTTTGGTAAGCTCTCCTAGTTACCAAGCCTAGGCCAGGCCCATTCTTGGAGGAGGCTCTCAATCTTATTTCGTTCCAGGCAGCGTGCAGAGGGAGGAGGAGAGCCAAGAGACTACAGGGGACTCAGGGGCAAAGAAGAGGTGAAAGAGACATCAGCGTCAAGCCAGAGTTCCTCTTCCAAGGCATGATTGAATACATTTGCCACGTTGCAGAGTGAGGAGAGAAATGTCACCTTCAGAGGTGATCTGACAATCACAAAAATAAATTACACAGAGGAGGGGGGAAAAAAAAAGATGAGCATTTGTGAATATTCATGAGCAAGCCAAAACCCCCAAATTAACAAGGAAATTAATTTCCAAACTGATTAGGCTGCCAACTCCTTTTATTTAAATAAGTCAACAATTG